TGATTACCTGATAAAATATAACTGTAATAGTTTATTAGTAGTTACTGTTTAAAATGGAAATGGCAGTAAGAAGTCTAAAGTATTGAAAAGGAAAAAAAGAAAAAAATCAGAGAAGTAAAGGGATTTTTAAAATGAAATAAAAAAATTAATGTTAAAAAGATGAAACAAAGCAGAAAACCAGTAGCTAATATCCAAATTATAGTTTATTTTCAACTTTTTTTGTATTTTGCTTTCTATTTTATTTTTAGAAGAATTATGAAAAAGTGAATGAAAGAACTTTATAACAATTAGTTGATTTTTTTTCTGCAAAATTGGAGACAATTGGTAAGTTTCCCTACTTCTTTTACTATGTCCTTGTCATGCTTTTTAGAGTATGCACCTATGTGTACATGGGACTAAGCAAGACTCCATCTCAACCACATGCTTGATTATGCCATGTAAGTGTGTAGTTAAAGACGATCTTTTTGACTTATGAGAATAATTTTAACTTGCTTTCTGTCTGAGAATTTACCAAAGCTTTTCAATGTGTTGTTTTCCATGAAATAGATATTTCAAATTCTTCAAGATGCATGGCATTATGACTTGAAGCCTTCTAGATTTTGCCAAGCTCTTCTCCTCTTTCTCTAGGTATTGAAAAAGCTTGAGATTGTAGGGTTTTAAGGTCAGAAGTTTAGAAGGGATCAATACCATTATTTCTCAGTGTCTTTTTATATTTTGATCCCTAATATGATGCTGGACATATATTAGGCACTGTGAATGTTTATATAATGATTGTTGAGCATTATCCAAACTTACAAGGAAGAAATACGTCTCTTACTAGCAAATGCTCATTCAGTCTTTATTTGTTTGCTGCCTAAGTTTAAGTGAGCAAGTTATTACCACCAGTAAAATCTGCTTGTCCTATTCTCTGAAAGTCTGCACATAGACTAGATTTGGGTTGTCTTGTAAATCTGAATGACTATTATCTGGATAATTTGTAGCTGAGGCATGGTCATTCTGTTTTCTTGGATTTCCTTATGTAGGAGAGTCACTTTCTGGAACTGGGATGCAATTCACCATGACACATCGTTGTAAATGATGGGAAAATGCTTGCATGTTGTCTTTGAATGCAGAAAAGGGGACACCACTTGATTCTGACGCTAAACAACTTTTCCTTCTAAAAGCTTGGAACAACTTTCATACTCAGAGGTCTTTCCCTTGTCTGAGTTAGCAACTGGTTAGTTTACATACTGGAAGGAATAAAATATTTAAAATAGAAACTAAATACAAAGATATTTGGCTGTTATTCTGCCTTAACTCTCCAGAGATAACTACTGAGCAGTGGAAAGACCTGGAACAGAACTGAGATCAAGTATGTGTGTATCTTTTACATCATGAAACATTTGTGTTTTACATTAATGCCTTCTGGGGAGCATATTATGGAGTTACTGCAACAACAACAACAAGGAAGTATGTTACAGAATGTTTAAAAAAATTAAGTTTCTAAAGCCACATTCTTAGCTCTGTTGTGAGGGAAGGGCTGGTAACTGAAGTTAGGTTCAGCATATATGTGCATTGTTGTTAAGTACTGTGGGTCAAAACTAACTCATAGCTGACCCTCCAGTGGGTTTTCAGCAACAGCAAATCATATGGGAAGGGATTGTTCGTCTTTCTCCCATGGAACAACTGGTGGATTTGAAACACATGCTTTTGAGTTGGCAGAGAAACTCTTTATCAAAAAAGACACCAGAGCTCTTTTATATATCTAAAACTCATATCTATATCTATCTATCTATCTATCTATCTATCTATCTATCTATCTATCATCTATCTAAAACTCATGTATATATAAAACTTTTTTATATATTGCATAGATATTGTATATAAAAATACATATATTTTAAATACAATATCTATGCTATCTATATATGTGATCTTGTGACCTAGTGGCAAGAAGCTGTGCTGCAAATCCGATAGTAAGTGGTTCGAATCCCACCAGCTGCACCACAGGGGAAGGATGTGCAATCTCCTCCCATGTGATTAACTGCCTCTGAAAACCTGCTGGAGGGTCAGCTATGGGTCAGTTCTGACTTGACGGTACACAACACCACCACTACCATATATGTTTTATATATATATATATATTTTCCCCCCCATTTTCTGGTTACAATTTTATTGTTGCACAGGAAGTGAATGGTGGCCGGTATGGCCAGCACTGGGGTGTGCAATGCTGATGGAGGGTGTAGTGGTGTGGGAAGTAAGGCATGACATGAGAAACCCCAGGCTTGGGCTAGGAGCCAGGTTTGAGGCCTTCTTTGCCAGACCTACCTGAAAGTCTCGGGGTGATGGTTCTAGAACCACATCCCTGAAACTGGAGCAAGGCCAGGTTGCAGTGGACAGGAGGGACTCACACATGAGAGAAGGCCTGACTCTTGCAAAAAGTGCTTGTCCTTCTTGGTGTAAAAGGTCTTTTCTCTCCTTCCAAGTTGATCTGACATATCACACAAACAAAGCACCTGTCATGCCAGCCCAAGCCCAGAGTCTCCAGGAAGTAGTCTGCAGCATCTATCTTGAAATCATAGCCTTGACATTTTGTGCCAAACATATTCTCATAATCTCACTTGCAGTAGGGTGGCCCCTCCTCCAAGTAGAAGTCTCTGTGCCTAATGAGCATCTTTCAAGCAGCACAGGTGAAGCAAGGCACATGCCAGGTCATTTTCAAGGCATGCATGATCTCGCCTGTGATCTTCTTCTTGCCCTTGGCACAATTGGGTGCAGAAGGGGCAGAAGATATTCCCCGTTCTCTCAAAGAAGCTGCCCTCTTCTAGTATTTTCCCACAATGGCTGCACACAAACTCCTCAGGGTGATACACATGGCCCAGAGTGACCAGGTAGCAGCCCCGGATGACTCTTGCCACTGTTGCTGCTGTCTCCCATGACCCCTCCAGCAGCCATCTGCATGATGTGGTTCTGCAGAAGTGTGGGCGTAGCCTTCTGGCTGTGCTGGGTCGGCAGGGTGCTGGTTTTGTCTGGGGCTTATTGTTCAGCAAATGCAGAGTCCACAGCCCAGGACGTTCGGCTGGTAGGGCTGGATCTGGTAGGGTCAGGTGACCAGGGCTCCTGAGTTGTAACTGAGGCTGGGGCTTCTGCCCTGGAGACCTGGCTAGATTTCTTCAGGTGTTCCTCATCCACATGAACTCATGAACTCGATGCCTGTGAGGTGGGCAAGAATGCGGAATGGAAGGGACTGGTCTGTCCCAGTCGAGGACACCAGTCCTCCAATCGCTGTTCGCTGACATTGGGGTCTAGTGGTTGCACTGGCAATCTCTTCGCAGCGGTGTGCTGTCAGGAGGAGAGGAGGCCCCAAAGGGCCGGGCCGGCAGTCTTGTTGAGGGAGGTGCTGGGTGTAAAGGTATATCACGAGGTGTCTATGGTTGGGGCTGGGACCTGAGGGAAGAGAAAGCCATGCGGGGTGGTTGCGTTATATATGTTTTATTTATATGTTATTATTGTTGTTTTGTGTTGTCTAGTAAGAATCGATTTATAACTGACCCTCTAGCAGGTTTACAAAAGCAGCATATCACACTGAAGGAGGTTGCCCACCCTTCTCCCACTGAGCAACTGGTAGATTCGAACCGTGTGCTTTGGGACGGCAGGATAGCTTCTTATCACCAGGTCACCAGAGCACTCTCTCTCTCTTTCTCTCTCTCTCTCTCTCTCTCTCTCTCTCTCACACACACACACACACACACACACACACACTTATAAATGCATATGCATATATACATGTTTTTATATAAACAATATTGTTGTTTTTGTTGTATACTGTGAGTCAGAGCCAACCCGTAGCTGATCCTCCAATAGGTTTTCAAAGGCAGTTAATCGCATAGAGGAGATTGTCCATCCTTCTCCTGTGGAGCAGCTGGTGGGTTCAAACCCCAGATTTTAGGATTGCACCACAGCTTTTTGCCACTAGGCCACCAGTGCTCCCTTTAAATAATATAATTTTTAAAAAAAAATAGCCATTATATTCTGTAAGGATAAGTAATTTATGATTTTTTTGTTGCTGCAGACACTGTTTTAACAAGGAGGTAGAGATCTTATTTTCCTTCCTGTTGTGGTTAAGTACCATAAAGTATAAAAGTGAAGAGATAAAAAATTTGATTGTTAGTATCAGCAAAGATTTTTTTTAGATAATCTTGATGAATAGGATTTTAATAGTCAGCAAATACACTTGATTGATTTAATGATATGTTTTCTGAACAGAGGGATCAGAATAAAGGCAAAGATGCTGAAAGCAGCAAGCCTGGGCATCATGCCTGGAGGATAGTGAATTGCTTAGGAGAGAATAATAAAAAAGGAAAATAAAGGGACATAAAATTGGGAAAAAAATCAGTGTGCAGTAGAATTTTGAAAGTATTGACTCATGCTTGGGATGGTGGAGGGATAATGGAAGAGAGGAAGACCTTCCATGAGATGGATTGAGAGACAATAAGGTTGGCAAAGGATAGAGCAGGGTTCAGAGCTGTTGTACATAGGGTCTCTATGAGTTGCAAGCAACTTGATGGCACCTAACAATAATAATAACAACAACTTGAATTTGTGTTTAATTTGATTGGGAATGTAAAATACTGAATATTTTTAACTGAGGGTTGTATTTTTAGGCTATTAATTTAGAGATGTGGCCTGGGCTGTAATGAAAGAGTCAGCTAGCCAAGAGATTTTGACAATTTATTCTTGTCAAGGCTCATTTATATCACTTGCAAGACAGGAACATTAATGTCTTAGGCCATAGAGTTGTGATTAAATAAAATTGTGTACGTAGAATTCTTGGCAAAGCTTTTAATGTGTAATGGATATACTGTAGCAATTACTACCAGATTGGTTTTATATTCTCCATTCTCTGTTAATAAACAATTCAGGTAGGAATGCAAAGTCATTTCAATGAGCTCAGTTTCTATAATAATCAAGATAAATTAAATTTCATTTTCTTCACTCAGGTCTTTTGGAAAGCTCTGTGGATGGATACACTGAATCAAACAAGAGTGACTGAATTTGTCTTTTTGGGACTTACTGATAACTGGGTGCTGGAGAGAATACTATTCATGGGATTTTCAGTCACTTATGGGCTAACTCTACTGGGGAACAGTCTCATCATAGTTACCATCGTCCTTACTGCACGCCTTCACACTCCCATGTATTTCTTCTTGAGTAATCTTTCCTTCATTGATATCTGCCATTCATCTGTCACTGTGCCCAAAATGCTGGAAGGCTTCCTTTTAGAAAGAAAGACCATCTCCTATGACAACTGCATTGCACAACTCTTTTTCCTACATCTTTTTGCCTGTGCAGAGATCTTTCTGCTGACTATTATGGCCTATGATCGCTATGTAGCCATCTGCAATCCGTTACACTACCCCAATGTGATGAACATGAAGGTCTGTGTACAACTTGTCTTTGCTCTCTGGGTGGGAGGTACTATTCATTCACTAGTGCAGGCCTTCTTGACCATTCGTCTACCTTACTGTGGCCCCAATATTATTGATAGTTACTTCTGTGATGCGCCTCCTGTCATCAAACTGGCATGCACAGATACATACCTCACTGGAATGCTAATTGTATCTAATAGTGGAACCATTTCCCTTACCTGTTTCTTGGCTTTGGTTGCTTCCTACACAGTCATCTTGGTTTCCCTGCGTAAACAGTCAGCTGAGGGGCGCCGGAAGGCCCTTTCCACCTGTTCAGCTCACTTCCTGGTGGTTGTCTTCCTTTTTGGGCCGTGTATCTTTCTCTATACTCGACCAAACAGTAGTTATTCCATTGATAAGGTAGTGTCTGTTTTCTACACAGTTATTACGCCTTTGCTGAATCCCCTCATTTATACCTTGAGGAATGAAGAGGTAAAAAGTGCCATGAAGCAAGTCAGACAGAGACAAGTTATTTTTATGAAATCATTCACATGATGTGCACCAGGATTGTGGACATAATTTTAGCCTTAAGAAATCCAAACCCAACCCACTGCCATTGAGGTGATTCTGACTCATGGTGGCCCTATAGGAGAGTAGAACTGCCCCATATGGCTTTCACGGTGATAGATCTGTAAAGAAGCAGGCTGCCACAATTTTCTCCTACGGAATAGCTAGGGGTTTCAAACTGCCAACCTTGTGGCTAACATCTGAGTGCTTTAATCAATGTTCTGACAGGTGTCCTAATTCTGCCTTTGATGAAAGAGCATGCGTGAAGACTTAAAATCATTAGCAGAAATGACATGAAGCACAGTGGACTTCTGCATTTACGAAGGGGAATTATTAACTATTGTTCAATAAAGGAAAAGATTTTCATGGAACATGAAAAGAAAAAGAGGCTGAAAAGTTTAAAGATGGTTTTTAGTTTCATTTGTAGAAGAAAACAATCGAAGCACAGATTCAGTTTCAGGAATAACTGCAGATGTGAGAATCTACTTTCTTGATTTATATTCTTCTGTGGGTTATTGTCCCTGGAGACCTATACATCACACTTGGTTTTATTTGTTAGCATGATTTTATTGTTTCCAAATATATCCAAGTGTTTATCTAAGCCTTACTTTCTTTGAATTAAACTTTGTTACTTTTGAAAGTGACTGTTGCTGTTTCTTGGTCTACTTTGCACTTTTAGGAGTACTTTTATTTTTTTCAAAGTGAAAATGTGTAAAGAAATTACTTTAAATATCAATTATATTGGGGTAAAATATATGGATAATAAAATTAATCCATCTAAACTGGTTTGGTAAGTTTTAATACATAAATGTATAAAGATATTTATTTCTGTAATTATCTATACCATGAAGATATGGTACATTTCCATGACCTAAAACAAATTTTTAAAAGCTGCTTACCAGCCAACTCTTCCACCTTACTCAAGTATCTAAGATCTGATTTCTGTCACTATGTATTTCTTCCCTTAATTTTCAAGTAAGTGGAATCATACGTTAGGCACTCTTTAGTCTTTGTGCCTTTTGCTCTGCATACTAATTCTGAGAGTAATCCATATTGCAAGTGTTAATAGTTTGTGCCTTTTTTTGACTTGAGTAATATGTTACATATTTCATTATATACCCTAATGCTTAGTTATTCATGTATTAATGGACATTGTTTTGATAAATATGAATAAAGTAATGATCAATGTTTTGTTCATGTTCTTGTGCATCAAGTGTTTTTATTTCTTTTGCATAAGTACTGAGGAGTAGAGTTGTTGGATGACATCATTATTGTATATTTAACTTATAACTAAAATAACCCTCTTTTTCCCAAGTGGTTGAAATACTTTGTATTCTCCTTACAAGGATAAGACTTTCACATTCAACATTTGATGTGTTGCTCTTGTTGTGTGTTGTCAAGTTGGAACTGACCCATAGCTGACCCTCTAACAGGGTTTCAGAGTCAGTAAACGGCATGGCAGGAGATTGTCCATCCTCCTGTTAGTCTTTTATACCAGCTTTTTTAGTGAGCATGTTTTATTTTTTAATATAACTTTTATATTTATGTAAATATTTTCTAACTTAACTTTTGGAGGATAAAGTGGAAAATGAAATGATACGTTAAATTGTAGTAAGATATTTCTTCCTCAGCATCACACAAAGAAGTTATTTTGCACTGCTATATATTTCAAATGATGGTTCAACTGGTCCTATAAATCTGATGACTGCTCAACACAATATTGTGGAAGGGTTACTGTCTCAGCATTTCCTTAAAATTATCTTCAGAATGCAAGATGGAATCTTGATATAGTAACATGATTCTAGTTGTCTGACGTAAGAGTTCAGAGCTCTAGGAGCTGTTTGGTACCTACTTAGTGATCACAATCATGTCCATACCACCTTTTGGTGACAAGCCCTTTTGCAGACTGACTTGATTACATTTTTGAATGAGATGTCCCAGTCATTATCACCACAGCTACTAAGTGCTGAATGTGGTGTCTGATGTGTACACAGAGCACACTTAAACTAGACTAGCAGATATAGCACCTGAGGCTAAGCCCTCCTGTTGAGAAAAAAAAAAGCAGGATTAACAGTTGTAAGCGTGGACTAATGATTGGAACGTGGAATGTCAGAAGTATGAATGTAGGAAGACTGGGCATTGTTAAGAAAGAAATGGAACACAAAAACATTGACATAGTAGGCCTTGGCAAAATGAGATGGATTGGACATTTTCAATCAGACAATACTACACTGGAGAGGAAAAGGTAAAGAAAAATGGAGCTGCATTCATAGTTTAAAAGGCCATTTATAGATCCATCCTGAAATACAATGTTGTAAGTGACAAGATAATATCCATACTCATACAAGGAAGACCTGTTAATACCACCATCACTCAAATATGCACCAATAACCAGAGCCAAAGAGGAGGAAATAGATGATTTCTATCAACTATTGTAGTTAAAGGTTGATTGAACTTGCAACCAAGATGAATTAATAATAATGGGTGATTGGAATGCACAAGTTGGGTGCAGGAATGAAGGATCAGTAGTTGGAAACATGAAGTTGGTGACAGGAATGAGGATATAGAATGGTAGAATTTTGTACAGTCAATGCAATACACATTTAAATACCTTTTATAAGAAACATAAACAACTATACACATGGACTTCACCTGACAGTATTACAGGAATCAGATCAGTTATGTCTGTGGAAAGAATTATTGGGGAAACTCAGTATCTAGCTGTGAAAACTAGGCGAGGTGCTGATTGTGTTGTGGAACAGTGCATCAACTACTCATATGCAAGCTCAAACTAAAGCTAAAGAAAATGAAATCAAATCCACAAGAACCAAAATTTGACCTTGAGTTTATCTCACTTGAATTTAAAAACCATCTCAGCAACCAGTTTGAGGCCTTGAACACTAATGAGCGAAGACCTGATGTGTTGTAGGAGGATATCAATAATATCATCCATGAAGAACACGAAAGGTCTTTACAAAGCAGAGGAGGAAGAAAAGACTGAGATAGATTTCAAAAGAGACTTTGATCATTTCACTAGAGTGCCGAGAAGCCAAAGCAAAGGGAAGAAAGCAGGAAATTAAGGAGCTGAACAGAAGATCCCAACGGGCAGCTCGGGAGGACAAAGCAAAGTATTAGAATGAAATGTGTAAAGAGCTGAAGTCAAACACTCAAAAGGGACACATTTACTTTGCATTTCTTTTTTTAAATTTTTTTTTATTATTAATTTCAATGAAACTTTACAGAGACTTTGGATTTCCATCCATTCATTGTTGCACTTTTCTCTCCGCCCACCCCTGCTCCCAGTACACGCCCCTTTTGGAAAAAGAAAAGAAAAAATTCTTTCATTGTTTTACAATGCCTCCCCCTAGGTCTACTCCACTGTCCAGCCTTTGCTCTGGACTCCCGTAATGACAAAAAGACCCAATCACATATCCCCTTTAAACAGTTTTCTCCCTCATCTGTTCCAATGCACTGTACATTATTTATCCCATCTTTCTCAGTCTCCCCCCAACTCCGATGTCAGTCCTGTTTTACAACAGTGGCACCATGCAGTATTTTGCATTTCTTAAGCTGAAGGAACTGAAGAACAGATTCAAGCCTTGAGTTGCAATTCATAAGGATGCTATGGGCAGAATATAGAATGATCCAGGAAACATCAAAAGAAGTTGGAAGAAGTACAAAAAGTCACAATACCAAAAAGAATTGGCTGACACAGAAGAATTTCAAGAAACAACATATGACCAAGAGGCAATGCTGATGAAGGAAGAAGTTCAAGATGCTCTGAAGGAATTAGCAAAAAACAAGGCCCCATGAATTGATGGAATACCAAACAGATGCCACCCTGGATGTGCTCACCATGTTGTGCCAAGAAATCTGGAGAACAACCACCTTGCTGGAAGAGATCCACATTAATTTTCAAAAAAATTTTCCAAAAAAAAGGTAATTAGACAGAGTAAGGAAATTATCAAACAATATCACTAGCAAAATCTTGCTGAAGATTTTCCAAAATAACTTGAACAAGTACAACAACAGTACAACTTCCAGAAATACAAACTGGTTTTAGAAGAGGTTGTCACATTAGGGATATCATAGCCAATGTCAGATGGATCTTGGCTGAAAGCAGAGACCAGAGGAATGTCTGTGTTTCATTGGCTACACAGAAGCATTCGATTGGGTGGATCACAACAACCTGTGGCTAGCCTTGAAAAGAATGGGAATCTCAGAACACTTGATCGAGCTCATGTGAAGTCTATACTTGCGCCAGGAAGCAGTTGTCAGAACAGAGCAAGGAAACACTGCATGCTATCAGGGAAAGAGTGTGTCAGGGATGCGTCCTGTTTCCATACCTTTTGGATCTATATGCAGAACAGATAATTCAGAAGGCTGGATTTTATAAGGAGGAATGTGGCATCAGGATTAGAGGAAGAATCATCAACAACCTTTGTTGTGGAGATGACAGAACCTTGGCTGAAACTGAGGAGAACCTGAAGCATTTTCTGCCTAAGGGCAAGGACTGTCTTCAATATGGATTGACATTCACCATCAAGAAAACAAAAGATTCTCAACACTGGGCCAACAGGCAGAACCATGATAGATGGAGAAGAGATTGAGATTGTTAACAATTTCAATTTGGTCAACTCCACAATCCACACTCTTGGCATTAGCAGTCAGGAAATCAAAAGATGCATTGTATTAGGGAAATCTGCTATCAGGGACCACTCCACAGTGCTAAAGAAAAATTATGTCAGCCTAGAGACTAAGGTGCACCTAATTCAGGCCATGGTCTTTGCAGTTATTTGCTATGCACCAGAGAGCTGCAATGACTTAGGATTACAAAAAAAGATTGATGCCTTTGAGTTTTTGAATGGAGAGGAGGATTGAACAAACCATGAACAAACAGGTCTGCCCTGGAGAGGATGAAAACAAGCTGCTCCTCGGAGGCTAGGATTTTGAAGCTCTGTTTCACATATCTTGGGCATGTGGCCAGG